GTTAATGAAGAAAAAGAGCTAAAGTTTCTACCTAGCAAGTCACCAAGTAAAACAAAAATGAAAATATCGTAAAAATTTCCAAAAGAGTAAACTAAACAATATTTTATCGAAGGTATGAAGACCAAGATGGTGTGACCTTTTGTGAGGTCGCAGTATTCTTTCGTTGTATAGAGGTTGTTTGATTTGTTTTCACAACTTGGTCTTATTTCTGGTTCAACATTGAACCTAATCAAAGAAAGCAGTACCACAACATTTGTGGGTTAGCACACAAGAGATTAAGGCATAGCAAGTCATAGACTTTGTATTACGGATAGAAACAGGATAGACGCGGCGGAGACTGGATTTATTTTCTGACAGTAGGTTTTACCATAGACGTGGTCCATGTAGTAAAGGCTTGACGATGAGACGTACTCGGAGGCTTTAGCCTCGAATTAGTCTCCTAGAGGCAGAGCGTGGGAAATAACGCCTCGTGGAGCACAGATGGAATGGCAGGGGTCGAGTGAAATACTTGAACCAGAGATAGCAGACGGATCCTACAGGGCAGGAAGGAGACTCTGATAAGACCCAGGGAAGGGGGACTGCGTAACAATAGGTTAAATTCTGACTCAAATTCCTAACACAAAGGTGAAGGGGGATGAGAAAGCCACTGTGGAGTGTGGAGAGTTCGCATGAAAGCCACTCAAAAAGGCACACCTTACCACAAGGAAAAATAGTGATAGTAAGACGTGATACGAGAATATAGGAAGCGAATAGCCCAGGACAGGAGAGATATCACAACTGTTTAGCACACATTTGGTCAAAGGATTGACTCCACTTGTCTCTTTGACGAGTTGTAGTGTTGTGCTAAGACTAGCAAGACTCACTGACGATGCCGGCGAAACGTCTGGGAATGTACCACGTCCACGGCCCAAGTTTGGAAATGGACTCCGGACTAGCTGTGTTCTTCTAAGTCTTCCTACCAATATGACCAAGTTGCGAAAACAAGGTCAAACAACCTCTAAACAATGTTTTGAATTCAACTCAGCAGTGGAGTTAGGGAACCGATAAGAGGTATTTAATATTAATGACCGAAATATGCTAAGGAGGAAACCGTTTAAAGTAAAGCTAGAAAAATATTTATCGCATAAATTAGATGAAAAAATGTGCACTTGGCTGCCGCATATAAGCTGCAATTAAAAAATTCAAGGAACGAATGCACATTACGAAAATTGGATATTTGATGAGAAGTAAAAACATTATATCGAAATAGTGATTACGTAAAGGAAGACACTCAACAAATTTAAGAACCGTTAACTCCAAAATTGTGTGGCACATTCTATAGATATAATTTTGATGTCTCAAAATTGCACTATCATAAGATGAAATAAACGGGCGCATACGACAAAATTTGATAGCGATTAGCTTCGAAGGTTTAGTTTATATAATGTACGAGCCGAAAATCTAGTCCATTCATGCGCATGAACATGTGGGATAGGTTCCACTATACTAATTTAGTTAATCTAACACAAATATTTTGCATGAGGGAAAGAATGTAGGCCGAATTTGTAATACTTACATCAGGATTTTCATCTTTTAATTGTACAAGGAAAAGAGGCAAGAGGTGATCCATGGTGTTTGCTTTTCCAAGAAGAGGAGCAAGAGCCATCATAACGCCAGCTAAAGCAGTCTTAACTTGCAAATTGGTCTCGGCAACCATTTCTCGAATAATGGGGAGGATTATTTCCATTATTACTTGTTCTCTGGACTCCGGAGAAAGACTAGTCGTAAAAGTTTTTAATTGACTTGCTGCTGCAGCTCGCACTTCTCCTTCAAGATCTTTTAGGAGAATCTAAAAAAATAATAAATACGTGAAGCAAAAAATCTACTTGTAATAGATTTCAATTATAAAACGAGCCCTCAGATTTGACTCCTATGAACCAAACAATAACTAAGTGCCCTAATTGTTAATATCTTAGTATGCTTTAGCTATTCCAATGGCTAGGGGCTAATTTAAATGCTAACTAAACGAGCCTGACTATTATATTAGTCAATTGATAAAATACAAGTTACAAATGCAGTGAGAAACTCCTAGCGAGGCATGCAATAAACGCGAAGAGACAATAGGGTAGCAAGATAATAAACAATGAGTCTACTCTGACTACCTGAATTCCTATAGAATTATAAAATGGAATGTTCAATAAGTGATTGCAAAGCTTTTTCAAATTTTTTGTTCAACTTCAAAAACAATCACGAGGTTGTCAGGATTAAAAGAAAATTTGGGTGAAAGGACATTAGTCATTGCATGTGTTAAAAGAACTCGCTAAAAGAAAATTTGAAGCATTGTAAGAAAATATCGGAATTGTTATATTTACGACGACAAGAAAGCAGCTACCGTTAATGTTGACAAAATTACTCGTAAAATGTCATTTAATATGAATTTTAAAATATGGGCTGCTGATAAAAATTATGAATTGAGGACATTCTTTGAAATAAAAAAGTAACATGCAGAGCATTAACGTATAGAGAAATGAGCGAAGTAATCGACTAAGTAGTGTAGTGGTGAGTGTTCGATATCGGTGTGCATTATTTAGTTAGTTTACTTAAGGTGGATGTGTTGTGAGATGAGGTGTTAATACATACTCAGTAAAAATTAAAAAATGTGAAAAGCAAATAAGGCTAACATGCACTAAGTTGGTGGATTATGTATACAAATTTGAGTTATTTAGTTTATGCCTGACAATTTCAGGGATCCAGAAAAACGCTGAATATAGAGATTTTAAATGACATTATTAGTAACTATAAGGTAAACAAGCTAAGATGTAATGATATATCAAAGGTGGATTGATAAAATATTTAGGATCATATCATTAGAATGCTCATAAAATACCTGGTACACTTCGACTAAATGCTGTCCTGTGACCTGGGGACCAACAGCTGCTTGCATTTCCGTCAAGTGGTCTGCCAACTGATAGCGCACACGCCAAGATTTGTCTTCAGCTCCACCTCGGATTAGAGGAATGACGTGCTTTAAAGTATCATCTGGCGGAAGAACTCTGGCGAATTCAACACACGCATTCATGGCCAGCAAGCGAACGGAATCATGATCATCCTAAAATAAAAATGAAAGTAAACTTTAAGTACGACTTTGGACAGTAAAGTTGTAAAATTAGTGGTCTAATCTTAATACAATATAATTTTTAGTGTAATTATAAAAATGTGTATACCAAGAGAACGCACTTGAGCGATTTGGGGCAAGAGAGGAAGGAGATCTGCACGAATAGCATCCAGCTCAACAACCCTGACAAGTTCTCCGATCCTACTTGCTGCTGCCCGGCGAAGCATAGGAGTCTCGTCGGAAAATAGTTGCTTAAAAATTTGTCGAAGCTCTTGGCGGAATATCGGAGTAGCCCGAGAATATACCACACTAATAAGTCCGCATGCAGAAGTACGACTTGTAAACCACTCCCCGGTTGCGAGGCGCCTTATCAATGGGATAAAATGCTGTTCCAAATCCTTCAAAAGAAAAACAATATTTATAAAATTAGTAACTCTGAAAAGGGGAGGGAAAAAGCAGTATTCGAGTGAGACTCACGTAAATAGAAAACAGGGAAGCGATAGAGATAAGTGTTTCCACGGCTTTGTCTCTGACAATAGT